TGATAGTTAGTAGAGCTTTATAATAAGAACCACAACTCAAATATTCACTGTTGAGAATTAAAGATTTCAAACACTCTTTAGCTTTATAACTAATTAAGAACCACAACAGTAACTGCAGAAAAGTGGGCATGAAAATCTTGTGGTACCGTGATAACATAGCCACCAAGCAAGTTTGTAGGCCCTGAAGAAATAAAAGGAACACAATTAAATTAAATAGAAAACAAGAAACCATGTAAGTAGCCCAAAACATCTGCTGAACATTTTAAGGACAAAGTTGATATACGGTATACTTCTGTTACCAAATGTCTACAGCTTCTACATAATTTTTCTTAACCAATATCGTAAAGACATGAATAGAAGAAGCCACTGGACTAAGATAACACCACCAATGCATGTGAAAGACAGTGCATATTGTGTTACAGCAAAATCCAACAACTTTATGCAACTAAAGATTAAATAATAAAGTAAACATCTTCCAGAGTGACTAGAATACAAAAACATTATGCAAAACAGTGTTGAGATTTGTGCTGCTTTTAGAGTGGGTTCAACCACAGGGATCAGACATTATTATTTTTTCACCTGTATAAAGGTCCAACTATTAGTTAAATGGCACAAGCCAGGTCAGGTGTATCAGTCATAAATAAGTCTTCCTAAATAAGTCTTTCTTGCATTAGAAGAAACAACTATAAAAGAAATAAGGAGCCAAGACATAAGGTAATGGTTTGCACCTCCACTCCACCAATGGCAAATAGAACCACCAAAAGCTCCACAAACCAGAATGACATGAGTTTGTATAGTAAGATCAAGAAACAAGAAGCAATCACAACGAACAAAATTGCTGATGTTGTGTTGATGTCCACCACACCACCAGAACCAGTAGTTTCCATCTTGAGAAACTCATCTGGTGCATCCTATGAGTAATTAAGTATTATTTTTATCAGTTAAATATAAAATATTTGAGAAGTTCCAAATCTACAAGATGATAAAACACCAAATAATCAAGAACATCAGAAAAGATACAGACTTTTAACAACTTTTCTTGCTCAATAGATGCTTCTCTAGCACTCCATGCTGACCAATATGAAGCACATAAGATGGTTCCAACTGCCATAAGCCACAGAAAAACCTCTGCTGTGTCTACAAGAGGACGATCTGGGGAGTACAACTGCACAGAAACTGAAGAAGATGTGAACAATTAGGGACTCCTTGAAATTAAAAAAAAAATCCAAAACAGCTACTGCCAAATCAAATGTCAGAAAATGAGATTTTGTATATTACAATGTCTCCAGATGGAACAAAGAGATGGTAAAAATAATTTTACAAAAAACATTATCTCTATATGTCACGGCCTTGCACAGGTGACCAAAAAGGAGTAGAAACAAACAAACATGTGCATCTGTGCCTTGTAAGAGTAGCTGAAGGGGACAGAAAGGCGAAGCACATGCATTACACTCTGAGCAGACATGTACATTCATTGGAGTAAACAACCATGAGAAGAGCTTCAAAAAATACTGGGATTTTGTATCTCATGTTATCAGAAAAACTTACGTGAAGCGCCACTCTTAAGACTTCTCTCCAGACTTACACCTGCATCATGTGGTAGCATAACTGCAGGTATATTTATATCTAAATCCGTCTCATTTCGTTCACAAACCATCTTGTATAGTTCTGCACAGAAAGAGACACATAAACAACAGAAAGATTTACAAAAAACTTAAAAGGTGATATTCCATAAAGATGTAATGAGCCTTATCTAGCATGCATATGGATCTATCCTTACGATGCCATGACAAAGAATATAAGAGTCAGATAAAGAAAGCAAAAAGATTGATGAATCAAGTATATCTTTGTACTGTAAATAATAATTTGAAAGTTCTTATTACCAAGTTGGTATAATCATTAGAACAAAAGGAACATTGGCAAAATGGATCACTCATGGATGTAAGCAATACCAAGTGCAGACTTCCTCTGTTTTGGCAGTTCTAGCCACAGTTCAAATTCAAACTTATCAATCTATTTCTATATATCACAAAAATTAAGAACTTGTTTCTTTTAACTTTGCTAATGACTCAGAAAACAAGGCCCATGTAGCATTGACAAAATGAAAGTTGTTGATTAACATGTAACCTCCAAGTAGGTGAATCTATGTTCTATAATGTGCATGACTGGGATTGCATCTCCCTATGAAGGCCAAGTTTAGGAATCCCCAGTCAAGGTTTTAGCCTTTAAATAATACTAGTTTGGACACCCTATTGGTTTGGTTAGCAACTGAGACACCAGTAACTGACCAGTACTACCTGACATTTAAGAAGGTTAAGAGAAGGAAAAAGAGTGGTATGCCAAGTGACACTGAGTGGTATGGTCCATCATCGGTGCTTGGTCGAACTGGTAAACAATGATCAGTATGTAATGTTCTATCAATATTTGGAAGTTGAAACCATGTTCTCCAGCTTGTCTCACAAGTATAGATAGAAGGGATTCACTTAAACAACTACAAGATGGTGGCTTATGGAAGGCATCTATTTGAGTCTTACTTTAAACATGATGAGGAAAATAAATGGAGATATTCATAAAGAGAAACTATGAACCAAAATGAAGGTGAAAGACTAGAAGAAGAATACCATAAGGAGTTGATGAGCATAAAAGTTTCACACAGGAAATGGAATGACTATGTAACTGAAATAGAACAGATTGCTAAAAGATAACAGAGTCCCCTGACTTGTCTCTTCACATCTTATTTATTAGACCACTAAATTAATGGCAAAAACAGCAATGTCGAGAATAGGAAAGGCGACCTTTACGGTTATTTATGATCAATAAAGCAGAAGCACCAGCAGCTTCAGCAACCTTTGCCTTTGTTGTAAATTTGCACCTTCCACGATGCACCAAAAGAATGTCTCCAGCAATCTAACATGAGAAACAAACAAATAATAGCTACAATAGAGATGAAGTTTGCTAACTGTATGAACAACTTCAAATATGACTGAATAACAAACCTTTTCCTTAGGTGCAGTGCAGCAATCAGACGGATCCGAAAGAGAGAGGGGAGTCCGGCTTGCGTATTTCTCCTTAGTCTGTATAGTTGTGCCAAATCGAGCACCAACTCCAACAAACTCACTATCTTCTTCGTTGTTAATCCAAGTTTGCACTTTTACCTAACCAGAAGCCGACAACCAATGGTAAATTAAAATACAAAAACAGAATCTAAATTTTATAAAGTACGCACTGATCATTAATAAGAGGAATTTTTTTGTATTTTGGGACTAAGAACTAAAACTGAAATAATACATCGATAAAACATGGCAAAAAATTATTTAGAGATGCAAAACGTGACATCATAAATGAAAGAGACAAAAACCAAAAATCTAGAATTTAGTTATAAATGCAAAAAACTTAAGATATGAGCCTCCTAGAGCTCATGATTTAGTAAATACGAAAAGCCACCTCTTTCAGTTGCAGATTATTAACTATGTTGTTTTGTTTCAATTATAATGCCAACAATACGTGAAAGATTCCCTATTTCTCCCCTTTTTGTTTTTCCATTTTCAAGCGGTCTCTTTTCATGTCAAACATGCCAAGCTGCTATTCTCGTCATTCTCAACCATACGTCTCACTTCTTTTCGGACTAGCCAACCAAAGCAAGAAAATAACCCCAATTCAAGGGAAGATGGGTTGCTTACTGATGCCCTTTTGTGTTCCGCAAGGGCCTCAGGCCCACAATGCAATCTTTCTAACACACAAATCAAGGACAAAGTAGAAGGCCTACAACACCCCGCCTCTAATATCGACCTCAGGTAACAAAAAACGTCACATTGTCCACCAGCATTGTAAGAACCAAGAGTCCCTCAGATCAAGAACGGAGGAACCAGAAGGGAATCCTCACCAAAATGAAGTGATTGGAGCATCCCGGCAACTTCGGGGCTTTGTCGTCCTCGTGCACGATGTCGCCGGCGTACGTCAGTCCGGGGATGAGCCACAGCAGCATCAAAGCCCTCAGAGCCCTGCTCCGATCCATCACCCTAGTCTTAGCTCACCGAGAACGAGAGAAGCGGAAGGAGGAGATTTCAATGGACGGTAATCGGGGGAAGCATGGAAAACGGGTGAGAGGAGTAGAAGAACGAAGAAGGAAGAGGTAGATCGCCACTGCTGCTTTCGTGTATTATTGTGTACTACTACCCACCAAAGGCGCGTCGTCTCGTCCACTTCGTTGCGCTCACTGCGGCTGGTCCACCGTCCGTGCGGTTTGGCGGTGAGGCAAGAGGAAGATGCTGCGAGATTCGTGCTCAAGTGAATCTTGACAAGGATCAACGGTTTACGATTTCCCCGCACCGTGCGCGACGGCACATGGAAGGACGGTTGCGTGCGCCCCTCGGGCCGGGGGAACCGACGGTGGCGGCCGATACGGCGGAACACCGTTGCGGGGTTTCGCTCTGCTGTTTCCGTTGACAGTTTGCCGTCGCCCATTTACCTCAATAATTAATTATCTATAACATTTCGATTTTTATATTTTTAAATTATATTAAACTTTTTATACTTAAAATTGTATATTTATATTAATATTGTGAAAAAAAATACCATGCTCACTAACAAATCAAAATGAGGTAAAATCAATACATAAATCCTATGATATTTCCAACAATATAAAAAGAAATGATATTAAATGTTTTACTTTTATAATTATAAGAATCTCAATATAATTTTTAAAAATATAAATATTGAGATACTAAAAATAACTAATTATCTATAATTAACGACTCGTTATATTATTCATTCAATAAAATTTGTTTAATTACTAATTTAAAAAAAATCAGAATTTAAGTACTTAACATATCATATTCTTCTCATTACTTATTTTACTTATCATCAATGGTAGGTTTTTTTTTCTTTTTCAAGATTTCTACCACTGTATGCTTTGATATCGAAATATTTTTTAAGAATTATATTAAAAATAAAAAGAGGAATGAAAATTTGAATCCAATAAGGTTACAATGCAAGGAAAATTCAAGCAGTCACCCCTGAAATCTTTCTGGGTCATCCGATCCAACTTTATCTTATGCTTACCCCATGAAAGTTCACCGGTCTCTCTCCCTGCTTGCTTCAGCTCGTAGCACTTCTCGGCATTCAACTCTGTCGTCAAATAGCTTCTTTGTATCACCTTCAATTTGATATGTCTCATGGCCTTTGCCAGCAACAACCTGCAGCATCACTTAGACAAGAGAAAGTGTGTGATTTAAGAATACTGTGAAGAAGAATCAGAATAAGAGTTACAATGGCGTCTCCTTCCTTCCCCATGGCAATGGCTGCTCGCAGAGCAAGTCTTCTGTCACCATTTACTGATAGTGTACAGCCATTTGGGAGCTTTTGATGGCTATTACTTCCACCATGCAGTGAGCAGAACTCTTCCATTGTGTATCCAACACCAGCTAACATATCATCCAATATTTTCACTATAATTTAGAGGTCACTCCATTGCATTAACAACATGGCCAGACTAATTGGTGTATGGTATAGAGAACACATACTTGGATCTTCATTCCTTGGATTGTCTGATGTCAGAATAACCACATCACTTTTATCAGCTGTAATTTTTGTCATCAGCGGCCTCTTCCTCCGATCTCTTTCTCCGCCACATCCAAATGACTAGAAGCGAAACATTAGCTATCAGCATGCATCAAATCACCCTACAACTACCAGTATTGCTAGGATAAAAGTATGGTTAGCCGCTTTTCTGATCTTTAACTTCCTTCTTGTGAAAATACACTTATGAATTGTGTTTCGGATTCCCAACATAAAAAAGACACACCAAAGTGCTGAACTTGAGATGTTGCAACTATAGAAGAACTTTAGTGCCAATCTTCGTATGCTCTAATGCTACGTGAGAGTTTTGAGCAGTTTTTTCTGAAAGTGCACAGACAGCATTTGATGGAATTATCATAAAATTGGAAGTCAGCTGATTGATCACACTGCCATGAGATTAAGTCATGTAAAGCTCCACATTACCATCTTATCTCACTGATACATATAATAATATACTTGTACATTGGTATTGTTTAGGACAGCAAAAATGCTCTGCAATTGAGACCTCTCTTTAGCACATATAGGGAAGAAAATATTAGAATCTAAACCAAGCAATTAAGTTTTCGACGATCAATTACCGAGCACTGAATTAGGTAAGTTGAAATTTTCATTCAGTATGATAATCTGCAGAATGTGCTGAAAGTAGAGCATGAATTGGTATACCAGTGATGACTCTTCGTGGTTCGAGTTCTCGGACGGCATCCAGAAGGCTACACACAGCATCGGGTGTGTGCGCATAGTCTACAATCACGGCGAAAGGCTGTCCCTCGTCAATTAACTCAAACCTGCCGGCAACCCCTTTCACCGCCTCGATTCCCCTCACGATGTCCTCCAGCTTCAGGCCGACGGCAATCCCAACAGCAACGGCTGCGAGGATGTTGTAGATGTTATACCTCCCAAGCATCCCTGAGTTGATCTCCAGTGCCTCCTTTGGCGTGCTCACCCAATCCTTAATCTCGAACAATGAAAGCTCGGACTTTAGAGGGTAGACGTCGGCGTTCTCGTTCTGCATTCCAAATGTAACGAGTGGAACATCTGCATTCCCTTGATCGATGAAGTATGGAGCATTTGGGTCATCCATGTTCACAACCTTCCTGTGCCTGTATATATATATATGTATATATGTATGTATATATATATATATATATACATATATATGTATGTATTTATATATATATACATACATATGTATGTATGTATATATACATACATATATATGTATAT